AACAGCAGTCAGACAAAGTTAGAGACTAGCTGGTGAACTTAGGGGAGCATTAAGGAGCTTAAGAGCCAGATATTTCTCTCAGGAGTTGGTGACCAGACCAAAGCTACAAATAATTAATATTTATCTGGTCATCTGAAACATGACTCAGAATTAATGCTAATGTTGCTCTGTGTCTGCTGGATGTGTAAGGAGACAGCTAGCTAACTAACGACTGATGTAATGTATGATGTAAATAGCTAAGTAGTTTGTGTTTAGCTAACACAGATTAGCTTTCAGATGTAACAAGCTAGCTAACAATTGACCGAAATTAGCAATTAGCTAGATAGTTTGCTAGCATTTAGCTCTGTATATCTTTTTAACATGCTGCATCTCAAATCGAATACTGCCATTAGTACACTTCTATGTAGTACACTATGCACACTATGTACTTAACATACTTGCATAGTGTTGCCATTTCGGCATCTTAGTGTTATCTCAGCTATCTGAGCACGGCTGTTTGGAACTTTTCGATCAATAGATGGAGCATTAATGCCAATACCGACTTATTTTTCTGTGGATTTGCCTTCTACTATAAGTAGAAACTGCTTCTACTTTTATTAGTTGTGCCCCCCCCCCCTGCATCTAAGGTGGAAATAACACTGTTGAAAAAATTGCAGTGCACTGCATGTTGTCACACTAATCAATGTGAACACACTTATGTTATGTACTTAAAATGGTGAGAGTAAGTATGGAAGTATCCAAATTGAGACACAGCAAAAGACTACTTTAGCATATAGATATATACCTAAGGAAGTTGAGGGTCAATTAATGCAGCTTTAAGATCCAGGATTACATCTGCACAAGCAGTTAAACTATATGATATATACAGATTTGAGCAGGTAAAGTCAATGGAAATGAGCCTTGAAATGTTTTGTGTTGGAAAAACAGTGCCTATTTTATTTAATTTTTTTCTGGTGCAGTGATGGTGACTGTCTTCTGTATTAACTGTTGACTTCAGATGTCTCCGATCACAGAATCTATTGAACAGCCAGTCTCATTCAGATGAGTGGTCATGTTGCTTAATATGACTTGGTACACCTAAGATGGCTGCCATGGAATGTTAAATAATTTCACTGGGACTCAAGAGTGAATGGTGCTGGTACTGCCTTTCAGCCATTGTAGAACTGATCAATATTACACCAGTTTTTATGGGAAGAATCTAAGATGCTTGTAATGCAACATTTTGGTGAGATTTTGCACAAGTAAGTGGAAATGTAAGTCATTATTAGGATTTTAGTAGCATAAGTCCTAGCAACATTAATCGACGTGGCTGAAAATGTTTTTGTCCCATGATCTCGCTGCTTTTGTAGCCATTAGGGAGGATAAAAATGCAGGGCAGAATATCTTATGTCTTAAATGGTCAGCTGAACGCTTTACATAGGACAAACCTTCTTTTTGACTTTTGACAACCATTATCTTTCATTATTTTCTGAATAAAAAAGTATTTATATTTTCTGAGTATAAAAAGAATTAATTCAATTTCAATGGCAACCTGGAAGAAAGGAACATTTAAAGTCCTCATATGGATTATCCACCATGTTATTCCATGTCAGCCATCCAGGGTGCACCACAGGAAGTTGTTCGGATCCACCAGAAAGTGTCCTTTCTATGTATTTCACTTTTGTGATTCTAACACCATGGGGATCTACTGTACATGACTCATCTATATATATATCCTGTATAGATACTGTATGTATGTATGTTTGTATAGGAGTTATTGTATGCTGTTGGTTTGACCAAAACCTGGGTGTAACACCGCATGATATCGATGTTGTAAAATGAAGATGCACAGAAGATGGTGATAATGATGGTGGTTATTCTTGTCAATAAATCACGTTTACAACTGCAGTTAGAGTACATGTTCTTCAGTAGGAACCAAATCACCTTGTTTTTATTAGTAACACAGGAATCTACAGAAGCCCTGAGAGGCAAGTGAGTAAAAACAATATAGTGTTTTTTTTTTAAATCTGATATAATTGTTATTATATATATAACTATATATAACTGTTTTCTCTCATTTGTTCATGACTTAAGAACAGGTGAAAAACGTGTTCCTTAAAGCAAATATAAGATTTAGTATTTGGTATTTTAATTTTATTTAGTGCAATACCACTGTGGTAAATATGGACAGCTGTACACGTGCATTTGTTATAATTACATTACTTATAATCAAAAACTAGCGAGTCGACAACTTTGCTAACACAGCTAAACAACAAGAGAATGGCAACAAAACAAGACATAGCAAGCCAGCTAATATTACTGACTAGTCCAACAGCAAGAAGGCTAGCTCGCCGTCTGTCAGCAGGCTTTTATTTCACTAAGCTGTTGCCAACTACTAAAAACCAGTCCGAGATTTACTCTTGTCCGGCACTCTCTCTTTCTCTTAGCTTCCTCTGTCAACATCTACTTAGGTAAGTCCGCAGAGGCTGCTGAGCTCAGTTACATTGCCCACTTGCCTGGCTCCAGTTCTGGCACCACACCGGCTCTGCTCCCTGTCAGCATTGCCCACTGGCTCCCCCACGCCCCAGGCCTTAAAACCTTCTCCTCCAAGCTTCTAAAGCTCTGTTACTAGCGGTATAGATATACAAACACTCCCCTGGTTCTTTAAGCTCCCAGTCCTGGCAGCACAGACTGGCTTAGCAGTTTCAGTCCATCAGGAAACTCTTTAAATGACAGAGGACATTTTCTCCATAAAATATGATCCAGTTTCAGCAAATCAGTGAAATAGTTGGCCTTCGTGGGAATGAGTCATTCCCACAATGGCCAACTATTTCACATTTCATTCCGAATGACAGAGGCACCATTCTACCTATTAAAACTCAGTGTAGCATCAAAATGAAGCTGTTATTTTAAGGTAGAAAAGTTTCATAATGGGGCTTTTTTTAACCTGTAAAATGGGTGGAAAAGGTTTTGCCAGGATAATTTTTTCATCTGAAAACCAGTGATTTTTTTTTTCAGGGTCATGTCATTTTTTGTGTTTGTAATTAAAGTGCTGAAGTGCACCACTACCCCATGTACTAAATAGGACTAAGCATTTATGTTTTCTTCCAGGTGAGTTTTAATTTCTTGCCACCTCTCATTCTGGCTGTGTCAAATAGTAATCATCATATGATAAAACCATATACAAAATCTTCCTGTCAATCACCCAATCAAATCAGTTGTAAGTAGTTACTAACATAAATTATACCAGAAAGCCTCCATAGACAGACAGAGGAAAACTATGAAAGGCTTTTTTTTATTTTTTAAATGTGTTGATTTCTATACACAGGAAAATTTGTGATTTTAATTTAAGAAAAATTATTAATACAGATTAAAAACTTTAGATTCCTCCTTCCGGTTAGCTTAGTCGGTTACTTTATTCTGGAGCGACCCATGTATTTGGAGTTGCTGCAGCGGCCGGTTCGAATTCCGACCTTTGTGGCCTTTGCTGCGTGTCATCCCGTCGGGTCTCTCCACTTCCTGGTCGATCTCCAGGCTGTCACTATAATTTAAAGACAATAAAGGCCAAAAAACAATGTTTAAAAAACTCTCTTCCTTTCCTCTTTTTTTGAAGGAGCATTTCCCAGCAGAGGAGGCTGCTCTTTGAGCGCATGAGATGGACAGGAACTGGATTAAACTGTGAGAGAAGTTCACTGTCCTATCTTCTTCCTTTAACTTTCTGTACTTCTATTTTTTATTCCTCCTTCTTCTTCTCCGTTGGTTCTTTCTTCTTTACTCTTTTTTCTTTGTGCCATGCTGCCCAGAATGCCCGGATCTCAGTGAGTCCTGGCAGCCACAGCAGAGTGGCGAAGTGCGGTTGGGGGGGTTGAAGAAGTGCAGAGGAGGGCCTCCCAAGGAGGAACATCCACCACAGGAGGAGATGGAGGTGGAAGCGACGGCGTCAGACGAGACAGACTCCTCTGAAAACTGACCTCTAACCTTTCAGGACTTCTGTGAACAGGCACCAGAGTCCAGAAAACACTGTGGGTTGCATGGAACAGCCAAACCCGTCTAGTCCAATTTGCTTTGTAAAACCCCACACACATAACCACAGAACACTCACCCTGTTGGTTCTGTCTGGTCGTTATAAGTATGCAGTGTGGTCACGTGGATATGGCAAGTGTCTGCACATGGTCACGTGAATGACATGCTGTGCAGCTGTAGTCTGTTGTGAATTGTATTATTCACAAAATGTTTGCATTCCCTCGGTACTTGATGGTGAGTAATGTGCATTTACTTTGTTGTAGACTGAGTAGTAGCCACTAGGTTGAGGTATTTACAGTTGGTCATGTGAAAAAGCATTATACCATACACAAAACACCAAAACCCCCCAATAAAGTAGCTTTAGGAGGTGATATGTCAGCTGCTATTTATTTATTACTTTTTTTTTTTTTTTTTTACAGATGTAAGAACCACATTACGTTTAATATCGTGAATGTAATCCTTATTCACACTGTGAATAATAAAGGATGTAATGTGAAGCCTTATATGGATGATTCCTGTATGCTGACTGATATCCTGACCCAGTGAGATATTGTTATTGGTGTTAATGGCATTCTTGGAGTGATTGGTATTGCACTTCACACAAGTTTAAAGAGAAAGTATGGTCTAATTGATGCTTGATCCTGATTACTTTTATTGTTGTTACCTAGTATGGGTTAAGACTCCAATAAACCTGACTCTTACATTTCCCATAATGCACCCAAAACATCTTTCATTAGACCTTCCTGCTTAGTGAAAAAGTAGTTTCAAATGCAACACCCTCCAGTTTGTTCACAGGCTTTCCTTTTAATGTGTTGTTTCTGTTCAAGATGTACCATTAGACATGGGTTCTTTTTTCGACAGAAAACGACCTTTATCGGAACACAGTGACATC